ATTGTCATTATTTGTAAAATGTAAATTGATTATGTGGTTATTTTTAATTGAAGGATTTTTTTAGTATGCATATTTTATTTGTTAAAATTATTAGAAATGTTTAAAAAGAAGTCGAGTGTAATGTAATAATTAAAGTTATATCTTTCAGTTTATAAATTTTACTTTCTTAATGTTCTGTTATTTTTAATTCTTTAGTTTCTTGACAACCTGTGTCATAATATTACAATTAATAAGAACAAAATTATCGGAATATACCTTAAATAATATTTATATTACAATATTTAAAAAAAATCAGCTTTTATTTTTTTAAATTCAAACAAAATAAATTAAATTTTATCTCACATTAATTTATCAAATAAAATTCAAAATCTTTAGGACCTTCTATATTTTTTTTAAATAACCAGATAAAATCCCAAAGGATCCAAATCCATCCTCTGGTAAAGATATAGTTTAGATTCAACCAAGGGAAGGGCAGACTTGGGATGATAGTGCCAAAAAAAATGAATCATTGACTAAAATCGAGAGTGACAGAACAAATAATAATTCAGTCAAATTTGTAAAAGACTAGAAAATAATAATATATCATACATAGATTTATGTAGGAATATCAGTAAAGCAGAGATGTAAAGGATACCCCTACCCAAAATGCCCATGGTACAATGAGACTCAAAATTTTTACAGATATACGTATCTCAATATGCCTTAAAATAAGAAAATTTGTTTTGTTTATGAAGACAAGCAATGCCTATTAAAAAAAATATTGCTTATTAGGTGCATAGTCTATGTTAGCAATAAATAATATAAGTTGTGGGACTATCTTTTTATAACCAATTTAAAGTAGTAGGTTAAAAAATTTAAGTAATTTCATAGTTTTACTTTTTTTAAATTTAATTCTTATTTTCCAATCAAGATAATATATTGTCTTGTTTTATTGATAATAATGTAAATTTCTGATACAAAGATTTTCTTCGATTTTAATACAAATATTCACTAAGATTAGATAGCTTTTAAGGGATATGTTGTAAATTTTTAAACTATATTAGGATAAACTTGTATAATATAAAGTCTGTAAGAATAATTTTTGTTTATTAGCATAATTTTAGGAAAATATTTTTAAGGGGATAACATCTTTGGAAGAGTAAATTCAGGATGATTATATTAAAAATAATTATTAAAGTAAATGACAGAACTTGGAGATCATAATCATAAGTATTATATTATAGTCACTCTATTCATCTTAATAATTTAATTACTATATACATCTATATAAATAGAGAATTTCACCATTTAATTATATATATCCAATTTAGGGAATCATCTATTCATTGAACTTATAATTTAAAATTTAACTACAAAGAGATTTGGCCATTCTTAAAAGATAAACACCATATTTAGGTGATAGACTTAAAACACATAAGATTAACTTTAAATTAAAAACCTTAAAATGAATGGGATTAACTTTAAATTGAAAGTTATAAAAATAATAATAGTTTTAAATCTGATATAAATTATTTACTATTCTGCTGTTTGTTATTGTAGTTGTAACGAATTAATAACATGACATGTGCAATAACTGACAGTATAAATTCTGAAGCTAAATTAATCATGGATAATCATTGACATAAAATATATACTTTTAATTTTTGAAATACGCCAAGAGGTGACTATAATAAATCATTAAAAAATCTGTCCAAATTTTTGATATAGATTGAATTGGATAGGATGCGACTGAATTCAACCTAGTACATTAACAAATTAATGAACTCCCTGAAAATTAACAAAATATATTAAAGTTATTAACTTTTTTTTATAATTGGCTATCATTTTTTTTTAATTTTAAGTAATTCCCAATTAATGGTGATCACGGATCCTTTTAAAATGTTACATAAACTCAAATTGCCGTATTCCGAGAAAAATGTCTTTCACTCGGATCTCAAATAGAGCCTCATTTTGCCCTCTCCCCTATACGTTTTTTAAATAATTTATATATTTGTTGTTTTAAATTATTTACTAAACTAGGGAGGGCTACGCCTTAGTTATTAACTAAATAAACAGATTTTTTTATGAAAATAAAAAATCATATATAAAATGTAATGAATGCTTCATAAACGCAACAAGATTAATAATAAACTAAACAACTCTAACTGTGATGGATTATAAAGTTTTTAAAAGACTTATGAGTATAAGATCCACTAAAAGAAATACCTTCATACAATTGATCCTCTTCTATTTTTTAAATTATGAATTGTCATTATTATGTTTGATGAACAAAACAAGGATTATCTTATCACATCGGAAAATAACCTTTTAAATTCCTTGACTCCTTGGAAATCTTAGGCATTTTCATGTCAGACGGTGTTTTAAATAAGCTCGTTTTTTTGAAAAAAATGATTAATGGCGTTCCTTTTATTTTTGACGAACTTTGAATGTGAACGCTTTCCTTTTTATGACGAACGTGTTCAAACACTTTTTATTTTATTTGACAATTTTAATTTATACGAATTTTTTAAGAAAAAAGTCTTAAATTTTATAGTCAACTGTTTTTCCTTTTCCACAATCGATTTTTTTAACACGTCATATTATAGTTTGTTAATTAGAATATTATTGTTTATATTTTGATTTAATAGATTAGCATATAGCATGGATATTATTATTTCATCATCTGATTCTGAAATTCAAAATCAGATGATTTTACATTACCATGGCCCATATATGATAAATAATTTATAGTACTTATATTGAAGAAACTAATTCAATACTTACCAAATGTAAAATGTGCCTAAGAAATATTTTAACAGTTTTAAAATCTTCAGGTTCCAATTTAAAACGACATTAGATTGCAATATTAATTATAATATATAACTAAGTAATATTATATAACTAAGTAATATTATATAACTAAGTAAAATGATTAAATTGAAGAAGAAATGCATTTGGGCTATTTAACCCAGCAATAACGATAGTTATTTTAAAATTAAAGAAAATAAGTTACCTAAAATATGGTAAATCATTGATAAACGCAGTAATAAATTGGATTAATAAAAGGTATTTAACCTAAAGATCAATATGTTTTTTCTGAAATTTTACATCCAATATTCAAGCTACAAGGGCCATGGATATAACTTTCACAGAACGAACCTATAAATAATAAACTAGCGTTATTGAAAAAATGCATTTGAAAACCTAGAAAGAAATGATAATGTAAGAATTCTTAATTTCGGGATATCCTTTTTTTTGAGGAGGAAATAGAGGGATGGATTGGAGTAGGATAACTTATCTCAATTTTTTGAAGCAAAAGACAAACAATAAATTTTTTTAATAAATTCCCCATGTTAAAGTAATTGTTCATTAAGTATATTATCGCAATCCCCTCATCTGCCCCTGTAGAGCGCGTTTTTAATATAATTAATGCTGTTTTTAATGCCAAACGTTCTTGTCTATCAGTTAAAATTTTTTTAAAAAACAATTGATATTAAAAATTAACAAGAAAATTTTTTATAAATAAAAATATCTTTTTATTCGCTATATTATATTGCATTTATAATTATATTATCAAAATAAACTATATTATTTTTTAGCATGGCTAATATATTGTGTTAAACCCAATGACATATATATGTCATTGGTTAAAACATATAAGACATTTATTTATTATATTAAATTATATTTAAAAAAATTTATCATAAAATTTTGACCGAACGTGAACGCGTTCCTTTTTTTTTAAAGTGAAAGTGTTTGATTTTTGTCGATGAACGGTGAACGCGTTTGATCTTTTTAGAAATGTTTATAGCACTAGAGTAAGGTTGTTGAATAATATAAATTATTATCTGTTATTCATATTCTATCTTTATTTTAGTTTTATAAGTCGTAATTGTGTTATTCATATTATGTCTTTATTTTAGTCGTAACGTATATTATTCATTATACCTTTATTTTAGTTTTACTTTAAGATTATATTTTCATTTTAGTTTTACTTTAAGTTAACCTTTTTATATTTATTCAAATTTAGTAAAAAGATATATATATATGTTATAAAAAAGATATAAAATAGATAAAAAAATAATAGTTTTACTTTTCTTCATGTTGCCTAGGTTGAGGAATGGCAAAAAATACTCGCCACTATGTAATGCATTTTTTTAAATTTTTTTTAAAACAATTTTTTTTTTCTTCCATATTTTATTATGGTGAGATGTTATATGCAAAAACATTAAATAAAATAAAAAATAAAATCCTATATAAGGAAGGCATATTAAGGTAAAAATTATTTTTACAATGTTTTCTTTTAAATTGATAAATATACCATATGAAGTGTCTATCTATGACATCCTTTGGGAATTTACGTATGATAGTGACATCTAATATTCAAGAGAACCCACTAGTGGTGATGTCATATTTAAATTTTTTAGTCTCAAAGAGAAGCTTCGATATTTTGAATAACTAAACGGAAAATATTATGCTTATAATGATTTGGAGTTTATACAACTCCGTTGTATATTTTTAAAAATATAACGTGTCATTATTAATTTCAAATGATTATATGATATATTATAAAAATTATCAATAAATGGACACTAAACCTGATTTCATATTTTATAAATTTCCAACACTGAGATTTACTTAGATAGTGTTAAGTTATTTATCGACCAGCACATTACCGGACTCCATTAAAATAAATACTTTACTTAATAATTTATCTGATGATGTGTTTGATAATATTAAATCAATTTGCTCTGATACCGATATATTAGATCTTAAGATAGTGATTAAGAAATTGGGATACCTTTTACCTAGACAAGATAAAAATATTTTAATATATAAATTTAATTTAACACATCAGAATTCGAGTGAGAATTTCATGCAATGGTACATAAGAGTATCAAAGTTGCATAAAAAATGCAATTTTTCAGACGACAGTAGTTAAAGAAAAATTACTTACATCTACCTTAAATGACAAAAAAAAATATAAATTTTGTAAAAATATTAATTTAACCTTAAACGAAATGTTGGAGTTAGGAAGTAGAAGATTAGATAGTATTAATGATAAACCAGATATTGATAATATAAGTTATATGAATCACGATAAAAAGTCTGATAAAGATAAAAACTTTAACAATATATGACAATAATAATTATTTTAGACCTGATAATAATTTTAGAAACAATTTTAGAAATAATTATGATAATAGAGATAATAATTATAATAGGAATAAAAATAGGAATTACGACAATAATAATAATTTTAGATACTATGATAGGAATTACGGTAATAATAATTCTAGATACCAAGATAATTATAATAACTATAACTACAACAACTATCGCTACAACAATAATAATCAATCTAATTATGGTAGAAATAATACATGGCATGATAATAATCAAAGAAAACAGATCCAATACGGTGACGGAAATCGTAACAATTCCCAATCTTATAGCAACAATTCAAATAATTATAGAGGTAGCGACAACAGTCAGAGAAAGCAAATACAATATAACAACAATTCAAATAATTATTGTGGTAGCGACAACAATAATAGAAAGCAAATACAATACAACAACAATGATTACAATATGAATATTGAAGAGAAAGTCGACTCTACAAAGAATAAAGATGATAACGATTTTAATGTTAACAACTTATCTGGGGACATGCTTAATGATAAAGATAATGCATTTATGACTACTTTAAAAGTGAATGATATTGTTACAAGTATGCAAGTTGATACAGGTTCCAAACATACTATCATACCTCATGGTCTGGCTAAAAAACTTGGTGTTAGAGATGTTAAGAAATCCGAGTTACAACTTACCGCTTATGACGGAAATTTAATTAAGATCATCGGCATTACACAAGTTAAAGTGACTTATGAAGGTATCTCAAAATATTTACAAGCGGTAGTCGTTGAATCAAGGAAAAATGCCTTGTTAGGACGTACATGGATCAACGATTTCAAAAATATTTTAAATAAATTTATAGCAAATATTGACACTAAGATGAAATAAAAAAATTGATTAAAGAGTGCGAATCCAAATTGACTAACGGGCCAATCAACAAAGCAAGTGTCAAGTTACATTTAAAAAGAGATGCCCAACCTAAAATTATACCACCTAGACGTATTCCTTATTCAAAAGTTGATCTTGTGAGCAATGAACATAAAAAATGGATACATGATAAAATTTGAGCCTGTGAATGATGTCCGATGGGCAAGTCCTATCACCGCCACAAAGATGATGGGAGCATTAGGCTTTGTGTTGATTTTAAGGACACTGTAAACCCAGCTCTTGAAGATTTTAGATACCCTCTAGAAACGAATTAATGATCTAAATAGCTAAACTTTCAGAAGGAAAAATTTTTACGAAGATTGACTTTAAAAATGCTTTCTTACAGGTCCCGATTGATAAGAGTTGCAGAAATATTTTAACTATATCTACGCACAAGGGATTTTACCGATTTACTAGACTTCCTTTTGAGCTTAAGACCTTATCTGCAATCTTCCAACAAATCATGGATGAAATCTTCCGTGACATGGAAGACGTCATATTTTATATTGATGATTTACTTATAACTGGGGAAAACGATAAAGCCCACCTTAATAACATAAAAAAAGTGTTTGATAGAATATCATCCTTTGGGCTAATACCTAATCTCAACAAAAGTGTTCTTTAAAAATAAAGTGAGGTTCCTGGGTCATGATATTGACGCCAAGGGAATTCATGCTAATCACGACAAAATTGAAGCAATAATATGCCAGAACCAAAATCAGCTGCTGAATTATCAACGTTTCTGGGAATGGCTGGCTACTATAGAAAATTTTTGAACAATTTTGCAGAAATAGCCGATCCTCTATATAAAAAAAATGGGCTTGGAACTTAGAACACTCTAAAAGTTTTAATCATCTTAAGAAGTTGATTAGTCTTCATCCTGCTTAGACATATTTTAACCCTGAATTAGCTATAGGGATGATTTCAATTATTATTAAGGCAAACATAGATAAAAACAAAAAAATCATTATTTTCAAAAATGGATGTAAGTTGAATGGTTGTCCTTGGTCGTTAGAAAAGTTTTTAGAATATGCATTATTATTTATGTTTTGATTCTCTTTATCTATAACTTCAATTACTATTTCCTAAATAACTAATATGAATGTGTTTCCATATACAAAAATCTTGCAGCCACAGATGCCAAGCTTATTTGATAAGATAAGAATTAAGAGATATTATTTAATCTTTCTAAAGTAATAATTAATGTACCAACATATTTTGTGGTAAATTCAAAATAAAAATTTATCACTTGGTAAATTAGATAAAAGGGAATATTTATAGCTCTATCCTGAATACATTTAAAAGTATAAGATATTTGTATTAATTAATTAGTAAATAATATAGGTATAACTTTTAAACCAATATACCATTACTATTGAATTAATATATAAGCTATTTGTAAGTGGTAAATATTGGTTTTATTGTCAGTTCCAACACACAATATTTAACTCATAAAAGTACTATTTTAAATATTATATGGTTTGAATTTGTTTAAACATTTAGAAGTTTGGGTTTAAAAAAAATCAGAGCATGCTACAGGGTTTATAAATGGGATTCGATTTTTTCTGAAGGTATATTTTTAACTAAGAGTAGACGTGATGGCTAGAATGCCATCCAAATTAATATAACTTCTATAAACTTTGTCATATTTAAAAAAATTAAATAAATATTTTATTAATAAAATATGACATTGAGTTGATTCATATGAAATGCGTTAATTTTAATCATTATATTAAATTAGGTATTTATTCGTACAATCACAAGTAGTAAGGTGTATAAAATATTATCAAAAATTATGATGCGATTATTAAACTATCAAGAGGTTATTTCCATAGATATATTATTGCTTTGGCATTCGTTTTCTAGATTAATGTTAGATTTAATTTCGTTTGGAATTTCTAATGTATCTGTTTTACGTGTTTCGTCTGTTTGTAAATCGGTAGATGATATATTATTCGGAGGATGTATATTATTTTCTGTTGTGGGTGAAGTAACGTTATTGTTATCGGCTATTTGATTATTGTTTGGAACACTTTCTCCCCAGTCTATAGTAAATTTAGTTACCCTAGGATTGGTGGCTAAAATATTCCTTTGCAACTGGTGAATTTTTTCAAAAAAAAAATATAAATAGATATTATATTGATAACTTAAAAAAAACAATTCACTAAAATGCAAAAGTTGGCAGTGAAAGTTAATGAATCATATTAAGGTTTTAAAAAAGAAATTAAGTAGTTATATTTTTTATATTATCTCCTGTTGTTATTTTGGATAAACCAGGTTGTGGCTAAGCTTAAACCCGATTTTTAAATCTTTCGCTTCTTTTTCTTTTGCGCATGATTTATTATTTTTTATTCATTCATTTTAATTTATGATTAAGTTTTTGTGAATTTTACTAAGTGGAGTGAGAAATATCCATATTTAACGATAGTTTTCAATGTTTTTTTAATGAAAAAATCTTAATTTTCGTAAAAATTTAAAATTTGATTAGTTAATTATTTTTAGCCATAAAACAAAGTTTTGCTGTTGTAAATATTTTCGTAAATGATTGATTTTAAGATGTATAAAAATTCGAAAAAAATTTATCTCATTTGATTTTTCAAATTACATTTATATATATTTATTTGAGACTAATTCTGAGCATTTCTATTTTTCTTTCTAATTTACTATATAATCTGATCATTTAATATATATATCAAAAATTTTGCAAGGAAAAACTTGCATGGTTAACCCAGATTTTTTTTTCAGGTCTGGCCCCAATTTTTTAAAAATATATTTTATTTATTTTTCAAATGCATTGTCAGTCTAAGTATTATTATATGTCATTGGGCCCAACATTCTGGCCCATGTACCCAGGCTCAGGACCTGCAGGTCTGATATAATATATAAATATACATAATAAAGTAATAGATATATTGTAATATGAAGGAACAATATTATTATATTCTCTTCCTCATTCATCACGTGAGGCATTGATGATCTAACATTATATAGTAAGGTTTAAATATTTTTAAAGTGTTATATGGGAATGGGCTTGGCCTGTTTGAAATCTTGCCACCCCCCTCCTCATTATTATGTTGGTGAATTACTTTTCTATATCATTTTTTTACAATAATAAAATATTTTAAAGATATTTATTTAAATTAGTTGGAATAAATGAAATTGATTTCATTTTGATATGTTATTTTAATTTGGATTTTTTTTTAAAAAAAATTATCAATCTTTTAAGCTATTCATTAGACAAAAAAAAAGAGGCAAAATAAATTCTTCCAAAATTATAATGGCAATTGTCAAAATAAGTTATTGAAATATGAAAAGTAATGATTGATGAGAACCCCAAACCCTTGAGATTATTGAACATGAACTTTTTTTTAAAAAAAAACCGAAGATTTCAAGCTTGGTTAGAAAGGTTAAAATTGTAAAAAAAATAAATATTTGCCACTGTATAATTTATATTTGTTAAGTAGCAAAAAAAGCAAGTATGGACATAATATTCAACATGTCCTGAATTCATCACACCATGGGCATTGGGAGAATTAAATTTTATAATTTGTATTTATTTTAAATATCAGTCATTTGTACCTTAAATAGTTTGATAACAAAATAATTTTTACGAATTCTTAAACTCAAATCAATCTAACCATAAAAGGTAGTAGCTGCATTGTATTTAGTAGCCATTTACGATAGAATTAGGTTAAAGCTATGGATAATAATTATATTTTTAATTATATAAATTAATTTTGGTATAAAAAATGATAACTGTTCATAGAAATTTCCAGATTCTTTTTAACATCATGATTTAAAGATGCTTCCAAAAAATTTAGATTAATTTTACATGAAAAATGACCAATAATTAAAAAAAATCAATTATATAAAATAAGATCTTTAATAAAATTTGATTAATATATATTAATTGTATAAAACATCTATATATATAAAAAACTTTTCCTTGGATTTTGCATGAATGCCATATTACAATATATAATGTTATAGTTTTTCTCTATTTAAAATACGAAGAAAATTTTTTTTTCGCTTTAAGCTGTGATTAGAACATCAAAAAATTTAATTTAAAAGCTTTCAAAATTTTACCAAAAAAACCTTTTTTAATAAAAAAAAATAAAATTATGGACAAAACAGATTTGCAAAATTTTCAAAATATCAATAAGGTTTCCTCAAAGTCTTAAAACTATTGACCAATTTTGGAGAAAATCTTAAAATCTTTAAAAAATTTTTTTAATAAACTAAATAAACTTTTCCAAAAAATTTATACTATATGAGCCATTTTGAAAATCACTAATAATAGCCATTTTATTATAAAAAGAACTAGAAGTTATGATGATAATAGTTATGGCAAATTAGCCAAAAGCAAACCAATTTCATTGCTTACAACTAATCAGCTATAACCATTTTATCCGTTAATTAGTCAGTTTAGCCAATAAAAGTTGGCTAAATTTAGCAGAGTGCCATCTCTACTCACTCACACAAAATATATTTATATAATTATTTTAATTTGTATAATTAGAAAAATATAAAGTCTGTCACTCAGAAAAAGATTCAAACTAAAAAGTTAAAAATAGATTTAGCAGCAAAAATGGATAAAAAATATTGGAATTACTTTAGTAAAATCAGGAATGGCTGGAGGATTTTCCCTTATTTCAGGATCTGCGTATTCTACATTAACATAATAACCTATACGTACAAACTCTCTTTCCTTGTAAGAGCATGTTAAGAGCAATACTGTAATTCCCACACAATCAGCTACTGGTATCTTAGAACTATCCGGTGGTGGGGCCTTAAAAATTTATAAAGAAATATCGATTAGAAAGTATTAAATATATATAAAATTTAGTCAAGTGAGCAAGATATATAAAAAAAATTATAGATTCATTTTTATAAATGTTTTAATAAAATTAACTGAAATTCAATAACCTACATCTATAACAAGGTAATATTTAAAATTATAAAATAAATATAACCTTCAAAATATAATATTGCAAAAATAGTTTCTATGAAATTCAAGTAAAATAATTATATAAATAAGTGTGATATATTGTCATCATCTAAAAATAAAAAATAATTACTGATAAAAATATTAATCAAAATCCTTATTTTCCAACAATATAATTATAAATTTTTTATAGAATTCTCTTATTAAGATGTATTTCTCATTTAATAATTTAAGATTAATGTATAATATTAAAATTACTTGGAATAAAAATTTATGTGTTCCAGCAGGTATAGGTCCAACTAAAACGGAGTCTAGAACTTGATCATATTCTTCACTTTCTGCTGATCCAACGTAAATTATTTTCCACTCCAAATCTAATTCATAGTTGAAAGAAATGGAATATTTTTATATTAGAAATGCTTGTTACCTTCTGGAAGATCTTCATAAGAATCAAATACAATTTCGAATTGAAATTGATTGTTAAAGAAACATGGATTATCTAAAACTAATACATTTACTACATTCACTTTGGACATATTTATAATTTTCTATGATTATTAAATTTTAATGAATACGTGATACGTGATAAAAGCGTTTTCGCCCTCTGGTTGTGGATACAACAGAGCTACGCTAGGTTTTCCTCAAAAATTGCGCGAAAAAAGTTGATTAATAAATAAGGTTAGAAATTTGCATTCAAATGTAAATTATTACTAAACCATGACCTACCTTATACTTTGTCTAATATCTAAAAATCTATGAAAAATATATATAATAGCGACAATGTGTCTTTTTTCAGTTGTATCTTATTTTTACAACTTTAAATCAATTTTTGAACGTGTTTTTTAATAACATTTGATTTTGACGGAAATGTATCCCATCATATTTGGAATACCTACCTTAGGTGTGGGCATTAGCAAATTTGTCTTGTTATTCGTAGTAACAGATGATTTGCTATAAAAGGTGGGTAGTCTTTTTCAATATTAATTTTAAATTTTTTATGCTATCTGATATGGGTTATATTTGAGAGAACCAAGCGATGCTCTGGTCCTAGGGCTAGACACTTAATTATAATGTTTCAACTATCACTTATCAAATATAAATAACTATCCTATAAATTCGAGACAATTTAGCAGGAACATTTGAATTCAATAAAATTTATATTAGTTTTCCAAATAAATTTTATGTAAATTATAAATGACTTAAAGGTTAAGTGCAAAATTATATACACTTCATTAAATAGGTTTTCTAAATAAGTTGGAACACATTTCCGGTAAGATCATATTTTTGAATTTAAAAAAAGAGCTCAAAAAATAATTAAGTTGAAAAAATAACACAATGGCAGAAAAAATACATTGCTGCTAGCATATAATATTTTTGTATTATGTAATAAAATTACCAATAGATTATTTGCAAATATTAATATAATTTATATCTTAGAAAATTATAAATATTAAAGTTAAATAGATAATAACAAAGAGGGCTCAATAATCTAATTTTGTTTTTTTTTACCCCACTCGAGAATTTTATTGATATGTCCCTGCAATTTCACCCCTATCCCATTAATTATTTTATTAAAGATTCCCTACCACTTATCCTAGACATGGTAAGCCTCTGTATCCTTGTAAATGAAAGAAGAAAGAAAGAAAGAAAAAGTAAAAAACTTTCTGCCCTGAAGTACATGGGAAAAGGTTTGTAATATTTTATTTATAAATTTTTGTCTTCATAATCAACTTAAATCAGTCAATAAACCGGGGGGGGGGGGTGATAAAAAAATAAATTCCTTTAAAATATTTTGTATGGGAGTGTGTGTTAATTTTTTGTGGATATTTTTTTAAACAGTTAATATAGACTATGAAATATAATTTTAATTAAGATAATAACTTTTCAAATCCTATAATTGAGATGATAGCTAACAACTAATTGATTATCATCAAATAATGTTTATTTGTTATTCCTAGCTTATTTTTTGACTCTGAATAGTTTTAATTAAGATTTGGCTGGAAATTTACAAATGTTAGCTCGTTATACGATTCATTATATCATGGGGTTGCTAGAAAAACTACTTTTAGGGAAGTGGGGGGGGGAGGTATGGAAGATTTTGGTGAGGGGTTTGCTTTCAACAAATTTTCTGTCATAGACGCTAATACCAGTAGAGCAATAAAATTGTATTAAAAATAAAAAAAATTAAAGTTGGCAGAATGGTCTTTGATAAATTTTTACTGTTCCCTGCTTAGAGCGGTTACCTTAATAGAATAGTTTATAAATAAAATTTAAAAAGTTGACCATATGGAATGGTTATTTTAGTGAAATGCTCACTATATATTTTTAGTTACCAATTGCACTGCCAGACCAGGCCCGGGTATTGTATTTAAAAAAATTAAAATCCGGCGACCGGGCCTGCAGGTCTCTACCATATATATTATTTTGTAAATTATTTTTGCTATTATAAATGTTGATTTTTCGAGATTCTCTCTTTAGATATATGCTAATAATAATAAAATAGGATCGATTTCTAGGGGGAAATCTTGATCCAAAACAATGTAATTATATTCACGTGGCAAACGTCGAATTTAAAAATTAATCCCAATAAATAAAAGTCATAAAAGTTGTTAGACCAAATATGCATCCTTTGATGTATTTATTCAATAAAGATACCTTTTTCAATAAAATTGAGGTGAGAAAGAAATAAGACATATCTTTTAAATTAATAACTTTTATGTTTTGATAGAATAGCTGTTGTAATCTATGCATATAGCTGTTGGTGAGACATTTAACTGTAAAACTATATTTAGAAAAATGGAAGCTTCTAATTAAACTAAATTACTAATCTTAAAGGGTATAGAAAATATTTGTTGTAAATATTAAATAAGTATATATCACAATCAACCATTTAACTAAATTTACTCTACACGAAAAAAATTTATTCATTTCATTTAAAAAGAACTTAATATAAATAAAAAAAATATATTTTAACATATTAATGTTTTCTATTATTTTACACGATTCCATAATTTTTTTTTTATGTATTTCGCTAATCTTATATTCATATTTATCCCATTCATCTGTATACATATAAACTTTTCGTGATGATATTGTATTACATCAAAGATATAATAATAATATGGAGCTCTTTATATATTTTCAAATATGCCAAAGCCGATTTCAACATGTCTTACGAAGTAAAAAATAAAATCAAATAATTTATCCGTGCTTTACCATAGCCTAGAGTAGAGTTGTTAAACGGTTCGTTTTGAGCCGATTTTTAAAAAAGGGCTAACTCAATATTTCGTCCGGAAAAATATCACGCAAACCCGAAGATTTTGCTCATAGAAGGAAGAAAGGTCTAGATATATATATATTATCGAAATCTCTAGCCTTAGGCAATATGTTTCTGGCTAAAATATTGAGTTAACAACTTGGTATTATTTATTTATCATAAAAGAAAAAATATTGAGCTCATAAAAAAAAATTTTGATTTGACTTTATCATTAACTATTTTCAAAATTTGTGTTTAAAGTAGTGGTGTTAAACGACTCGTTTTGAGCTGATTTTTTAAAACGGCTAACTCAATATTTTAGCCAGCCACGAGATTTCGCTAATAGATGTCCAAACCATTGTTCCATCTACAAGCAAAATTTTCAGGCTTGCGTAATATTATTCTAGATGAAATATTGAGTTAGCAGTTTTTAAAAATCGGCTCATAGAGAGCCATTCAACAACACTAGTCTAAAGGGTTTTCCAGGTTTTTCTTTTCTCTAAAATGAGCGCTTTATATAAGTGGGACATGTTTTGTAATATAGTTCGCAAATTTATCTTATTATACATTTAAATTCAATTAATTCTAACTTTACGTGGAAAATAAAATAAGTAATGAATATTCAAAACTCAATAATATTACATTTCAGCCAATAGTCATATATAAAACTAACGACAATTTTTTCCCAGTCAACATACCTTTTTATTAACGAATACCGCGAATCTATATTTCTCAAACAAAAACTTCAACTTGAAACTTTCAAACATAAAATGTACTTGTTTTTCAGGAACACAAAGAACACACGCTTTTTTTTAGAGCCTTCGATACTTAATAAATGTATATCTATTTATTTTTATTTAGTAATTTTATATATTTTTATTAAAATAGTTTTTTATCATAATTTTATTTATAAATTAAAATAAAAGATATTTTTAAATTTAAAAAAAAAAATAAAAAATTTTTAGATTGCTTTATTTTATATTATTTTATATTTTTTTAATTGGATGGTTGATTTTTTTAAATTTAACATACAAGAGTTAATGTTACATTATTATACACACTTTGGTATTATATTTTATTCGCTTATAAATATTTCATTTGCAAATTCGATATAAAAATATTACCGCTACGAAATGTTATTTTTTACTGCATAATTATATTTCACTACAATAAAATCACTCCTATCTATATATACATATATATATCTATGTTTAATTTAGTATCAACATAATCAATTCTGCTTTAATCGAACCCAAATATACTCTAATCTGCTCACAAGCTAATCTCTCCATAGTAGTGGCTTGATTTAAACCGAATTTTAAAAAGAACTAACTCAATATTTTTGCCAGAAAAATATTGCCCAAACCTCGAGAATTCGCTAATAATAGATGCTCCAACCCTCTGTGCCATCGAATGACCAAAATCTTCAGACTTGCTTAAATAATTTATCTGGATAAAATATTTATAGCCGTTTACAAATATCGGCTCGAATCGAATCGCTTAACAGCATCTGCATTTAATTATAAACAATGATTTTTACAATTCGGGAAAATAATTATCTAATAGATAATAAATGAGATATATAAATTATATATATATATATATATTATTTAACACATTTTAAAAAGTATCTTAAAGAATAATCAGTTACTTTGTCCTTTGCATTTCAAGAAAATGTATAGCCAACAACTATTTTTATACATATTTTCCGGTTCACTTTATGGCCAAGTGGCCAATCCGCATCAGACTAATATCACTCAAACATTTCATATTTTTGGGTTTAAAAACAAAACAGTTTAGTCACCCAAATATTCAAGATTAATATGATACATTTTTGATAGAATAAATGTGTTTCCAGAGAGTTTCCAACACAAGCAGTTGTGTTAGAGTCATTCTTATGAACCTTAAATAGAAGTGCCAGCGGGGTAAAATGGGAAATGAAGCACATTTTATAATTTCACTTTTCTTGGCATAAGTCTGTCAAAGATTTAGTGTAAATTAGGAAGTTCGGCAGGATTTAGTGATGTTTTATTTATATAAATTATTGTCTATTTTCTTTTAAAGTAAAATAATGTAGATAATAATTTTTTTGAATACAATATGGCTGGACAATACAATAAAACAGCAGCTCATTCCGATTGGGCTATTAATAATATGGCAAGGGAGGATTGGTTTAACTAATTTAATACATAAAATAACATAGATTCCTTAGGGCCCACGCCTTGATCATTTATATGACTTCAATACAAAAAAAAAGGTCAAAATGGTCTCATCTTCACATATATAGAATTGTTTATTAACAAATTAATA